GGTCGACTACATGGGAGTCCAGCAACATAGCTATTACACTAACTGCTGGTCCTAGCCACTGCTTTTCTTAAGGCTATTTGCATTCTATCTGAGATATAAGTAGTATAGTAACTAGCCCTGGGATAACGTGTGTTTTGTTTTTGCGTTTTTTTGGAGAGGTTTTTGCCATAGAGCGCGTGCGCTCACCAGAAAGACAGAGAGAGACAGGGAAACAGAAATCACCCCCCAGGGGGGATGGCCACGCCGCAGTCCCATCTCCTCCATTCTCCTCTCGGGATCTTGGGCACGTATGCACACGCGCCCGGCCTGAGTTTCAAGCCACCGGGTCCAAGACACGAACCGTGGTCGACTACATGGGAGTCCAGCGACATAGCCATTACACTAACTTCTGGTCCCCTGGGATAACGTTTTTAAACACACATGTAGAAAACAATATGCCAGGTGATAAGTGGTATAAAGGAAAGTAAAGCAAGTTTAGGAGTTTCCATTCTTTTAAGATGCTTTGATGGGGGTAGGCTTAAGAATGAACATGAGGGACCAGCCTATGGTGTCATGATTGCGTAACTGGATTCCCACGTGGTCGACTGTAGTCTCTCTTCAAAAAAGAAAAAAGAATGAACATGAGACAAGTGAATGCGATGCTTTTCAAAAATCCCTCTGCAGGAATCAGCAGATGGCATGGTGGTTAAGGCTCTGGACTCCCACATAGCCGATCATGGTTCCAGTCCCAGACCCGGCAGCTTGAAAATCATTCCAGCTGCATGCATACCCAAACTCCTCAGAGGAGATCAAAGGAGAAGGGATTGTGATGTGATGATTACCCTGGGGGTGATTTCTTCCCGTCTCTCTCTGTCTCTCTCTCTTTCTCTCTCTCTCTCTCTAGCTTGTGTGCCCTATGGCAAACCCCCCCAAAAAAAAATCCCCATGGAAAGAGTTAGTGGTTTAGACCAGGGTGATGATAGTTAAAAGAAAGGGAGGCTAATAGAACTCATGTACCTTTAGACGGTTGTCACTGGGACTTTGGGATGGATTAGATGTGGAGGGGGAACAGAGGGAGCAGTGAGACTCTCTGGCATGAATGACTGGTACCATTTATAGAGACGGCAGGTAGAAGAGGTACGTGTGGGGAGGGGATGTTTGGAATTGTCAGGCTTTAGATGCCTGGGAGGTTTAACAAATGGCGATGTTGGATATATAGCTGGATAGAAAGGCCTGGAACAAAAAAGAGAAGCCTCTGACTGAAATGCCCTTTTGATAGTCCTTAGTCTATACATGATATTTAAAGCCATGAAAATGACTGGGATCTCTTGGAGATAAAGAAAGAGTGAGGGGGAAAAATGGAAGGCTGATGTCTGAGCACCTCTAACTTTTAAGGGTTGATTAGAAAAGGGAGAATCATGAGACCAGCAGGTGGTGTGGTGGTTAAGGCACTGGACACTCCTACATGGCAACCATGGTTCAAGTCCT